TTTTAACAAATTTTGCAAGGTAATATTAAGTTTTGATGGCTGGTATAAGTCAGATGAAGCAGAGACACGTGTGGTGGTGTTGATCCTTTCACTATTCTTCACAGTGTTACCTTCGAACTTCCTTCAAAGTGAGAACTCAGAACTTCTGAAAAACACACCTAACCTTTTTTGGAGACATTTTCTACACCAACCCCCTTTTCTTATGTTTTCATCTTCAAAAGCGTGTTCCTTTTTCTTACTTGGGGAGTGTACAGATGGGTGGCTTTGATCTGATGATTTCCTTGTTGACAAGTTCTTTCTCCAAGTCTCCTCCAGCCAAGCACCAGAGATGATAAACCTCTTCAATTGATCTTTCTGCTAGGTAATCACAGTCTTCATCTATTAACAGAAGTCAAATACAAATGAATTATAGTGAGATAAAACAACTGCTTAAAGAGTTATCATTCTAAATAGATTTTTGTTATAAATATCAGATTAGGGTCAGGTATCCTGATGTGATACTAGAGGAAAAGCGATCTTCTGTTTGCAGTTGCTGAAAGGAAAGTTCATAAGAGAGACTGCAAAGATTCTGGAGTTTTCTTGCATCACATAAGCAAGTGAAAAATATCGTCTCATTTGCTGCCAGAAAAACAGAACAAAATCAGATAGATGTAAACACCGATAATTAAACCACTGAATGGCACTTAGGGCTCCAAACTATCATACGTGACACACACACTGGCACTCTGAAGCTTCAGCGTCACAATATTAAAGAATAAAATTTTCCAAAATAAGCACTCGTCATAGGTTCTAGAAAGGATGATAGCAGCCCATTCCACTTGTATGACAACTGCAAACAAGAACAAAAAGAAATTCCTCTCTCTTTTGAACTTAAGGCAAGGTAGATCTAAACCTGTGTGGTTTTTTTGTTCTCTAAATGCAGCCTCTGCCAGAGAGATTTGGTTAGTCCCATAACTTTGAATTTCTCTGCTGGCTAAATAAACTCTTACAAAACTACAGCCCATATCACAGGATGTGCCTAAGGAGAACCCTGTCCTCAAGTTGCTACACTGTATGATGAAATAAATTTAAATTTCTGCATCCAAACTTCAGAACTATAAGGTAAAAGGTACCAGCCCTCAAAAAAATGCCATGCACAAGCCATTTGTGGGTGGTTATCAGATATGATGATGAAGAAGTGAAGAAAAAATAAAGAGGATGGAGGCAGGTCTCCATCCATGTCCTCACAGTGCATAAACTGATAATATCCTTCACTGACCCTTAACAAACAAAAGTACCTCAAAGAGGAATGGAGGCTTTGTTAGTATTTTTTTCCCAAGAAACAAAACAGTCACATACTCCAAATCCTATCCCATATAAACAACAGGTACATATTTATTTTTCTTCTCTTCCTGCCACCACCCTCTCTCATGGCCCACTTTTACCTTTACACAGCTGACTGATGTCCTCAGGAAGTGTTAGATTAGCACATCTCAAAGAGGATGAAAACAGACTGGCAGCTTTATGGAAGGGTTCATAAAAAGAGGACACTTCACTGAATATACTGTCACACAGCAACTCATCAGGAGTAGGTCTTGCGTAAGTATTTTAAAAAGTTCAAGAATGACCAGAAAGAGAGAAAAAAAATGAAATCCTTAAAAAAAAATGCATGTTAATACTCTCATTGACAAATAGGTGTTATTTATTTAATAAAAATGTAAAGTTTTACGATAAATATTTCATTTGTCTTCATTATGACAGTCAATACCTTATAGCCTGCCTACACATGGTCATTCTTATGCTCAAACTAAGTTTGGAATCTGTCTTTACTGGACAATTTTTGTTTTGTTAATTTATAAGGTAGTCTAGCAGTTTTTGGCCATTAAAAAGATCTTTCTGATGAAAACAAACTTTTTTTTTTAATCTCTGATTACAATGTGGCTCTATACTGTGCTGCAGTTTCTTGAAGGTATATGACATTAGAAAAAACAGTTTACAAGAACATATTCTAAACACAGGAAGTACTATAAATCATCAGAAATGGTTACTGATGAAAGACCAGACTACAGTTAAAAAGAGATCTTACTTTCTAAAAATAAAAACAAGAACAGGAGTCCCAAAATTTCTTTCTTAATGTCAATCAAGTTTACTTTTCCTTTGCTTTGAGCCCTGTTATTCCTGCCCAGTGATTTTAGCCTCAACTCTTGATTAACCAATATACTTCAAGCTTGCAATGTTACTACTCAAAATGTTCTTTCAAAGCATTTAAACAGAAACAAATAATGCAAGCAATTATATGCACTTTTACACGATCTTTTAGATGATCATTATTGTACTATTCTGTTTAGTAGTCATGGCTGCAAAAACAGAAGTATATTTGGAAAAACTTGTCACAACCAAATTAAGTAGTGCCCATGTCACAAACAAGTAAAACCATTCAAAACAGTTTTAGTCTGCACTAGGTTAACCAAGAGTTAACTAACAAAAATGATAGTAACAGTTTTTTTACTGCGCATGTCAAAAAGAGATTTATAACTGCGACACTAACTAAAAATGAAACTTAGCCTTCTGTGCTGTACATAAATCATTATAATTGGTCAAAGAAAACAAGGAATAACCCTGTGATAAGACCCTAGCGAAGGCCGCTAGATAATTGGCGATTCTAATTAAATTTATGACGTGGCGAAAAGCAATTGGCTATTACACAAATAAAACCCGTCTTCACTTCCGTGAAGAACGGGAGACCTCCGCACACGCACCTAAAAAACCTCTGAACGTATGCGTGAGAGTAACTGACAAATTGATCACTTGTCAGTTTCTCCCCCGTCTCGACCCAATTCTCAGACGTAAATCGACGACTTGCCGGCCCAACCTTTTCTCCATTTCTCTGCCTCTTATGCAGACCAACGAACTCTTTTACGACCTACGAACCTTAAGCTGTAACTAACCAAGTATCTTTGACCTCCGTCTTTTACCACCTTGACGGCGTGAGTAAATAATCTTGGTTTGCAACCGATAAGCGTCCGCCTAATTAATTCCACTCCAAGCGTCACAAGTACCCGCCTGACTGACCCTTATCTGCCCGGGTGGGAGTCAGGGAGAGCTGCTGGCCGGCTGCCCTGGGTCCCGACAAAACTATTAGAGTATTTGCTAGAATTCTAGTTTAATCTGACACTTTCACTTTTATTCATTTAAAAAAAATGGTAATGCAAAGCAACTAAAAGGAATTCAATCAAGCAACTGCACTGATGCATAACTATATAGATTTCCAGATAGATGCGCTTTGATGCAATTTATTTAAAAGACAATATCTGAACGTAGTTTAGCAGCATATATTTTAACTGCTGTGGACCCAACAGAATAATTATACTGTAAATTGGGATTAGACACTTACCTCTTCGAAGGTTGAAACGTAAGGCATTTCTTCAATAAAGACATGACATTTTCAGGGAGGGCCTAGATTATAAAAGAAAAATCCTCAAGATTGTTTACTACAGGTTTGGTCTAGCATGCTACCAAAGTAGCTGTGTAACTAACTATGCAAGTTATTCTATTCAAGTTTACTGGACTGCATATATTGAATGGCTTAGCTGGGTGAAGTCCAAGAAGTTATGGCTACTCCAGCAAGAAGGATATATGTTTTTTGGTTAGAACATTCTTTCTGAAGACTCAGAGTCAAATTCTTCAAGACATTTTGGATGTCCAATTTTAAGAACTTTAGGATGCTGGGGATGCCTGTTCTGAAAGTCAGAATCTGATGTATAGTTTCTAAATCCAGGCACCCAAAATTGAGATACCAAAAATTATAAAATTACTTTAGAAAGCCTGACTTAACTATATAATTATACATTCATAATTAAGGAATGCCACATAAATCAGTAATTAAGCCAAGGAAAAAGTTAAAAAACTCCCAACCCTTCAAAACCCAATGCTACACTAGTCCAATACACTGAGAAATAAATGTATGTTTTGATTTATTTGGACTTATAATTTGGTTTCAGGCAGTCCTTAACTTAATACGTTCTGAGTTACAATGAATGGCACTTAAGACGTTTATAAACTGACACCCTGTTTCAACTGTGACATAAGTTTCAACTTTATGATGCTTGATCTGATGCCACGCCAGCAAACAAGTTCACTGCATCGTCCATCTCTCTGGAGAACATCGGTCCAAACTTCCTTGGACACTTTCTTTAAGAAAGCAGACAAGACTCCAGAAAAACCTGTAGCCAAGATTCCTGAGAACACTCCAGTTAAGAACCCTTCAAGAAGTCCAGCAGTCACCTCAAAGAAGTCCTTCCAAATCAATATGATTTCTATTTACAATATAAATACATTAATGTAGCTATATTAATCATCTCTAATTGACCAAGTACAAAATTCTGGTTATTTTTGGTGAAAATAAAGTATCGAGCCTTGGTTCAGGAACCAATCCCCCATTTATAACATTGTTCCTATGGGAAAATCAGTTCCGAGTTACGACATTTTGACTTAAGACACGGTTTTCAGCAACCTGTTGTGTTGCAAGTCCAAGGACTACCTGTACTTATAACTAATTACAAATAGTTTGGACTATAAGTAATCTGGGAAAAGGATCAAATCTGGGTACTGCCAGCATGGAACACTTTGATCTACCTACCTACCTAATCATCATTATATTAAAAAGATCCAAGTGATAAGTTACAAATCTTTTTGAGACGACAAAGCCATAAAAGGCTGATTTTTGTGAAATATAAAACAGCATTAGCTAGGAAAACACTGGCTAAAAGAGTTCCACAGACCTTAATAACATCCAGGCAGCCATGTTCTTCAGCTAATACAGTTACAATGTCATCCACACAGCCTACAAAACAGAACAGTACAAAACAGTCTAGAAAAAGAGAAATTTCCTACCTTGTTTCTTAAACCACATTTTATTTAGATTGACTGATTTTATGGTAAACTTGTTATTATATCATCTGAAAGTATATAACTTCAATAATCCTCAGAGAAGGGAAGTATAACCCAACACACCAAGCAAGAACTGAAGCACAAAGATGTTAAATAACAGGCCTAAGTTAGCGTAGGCAGTGTTTTGCAGAAAGAAACTATCTAGATCTTCAGCCTTTGCCTGATGCTTTAACACTAATTATCAGGCCACATTTCCTTACATTTGTTGTTATAAGGATAAGTGCAGGAATTTCATATCTGTGAGGAAAACAACTGTTCCTCTCTCAACAATCTGGTTCACTACCACTTGCTGCTTCCTAGATTGAAAAAAAAAAAAGTGATCCCTGGACGATACATTATTATTAGTTAATGTGATGGATGGTAGTATCCAGCTGAATATTGCACATCATAAAATGATTAAAATTAATGGGTAACTTAAATTCTTCTAAGAATTATACATGGTCATGAGGCAACTATTCAAGATAACAAGAAATTTAGAAAGAAACAGTTTACTTAATAAAAAAGGATGTTTGCATTAAACAGAAGTTAGTTATGGCCCCATACAGGTATAACATGTACGAGGAGAAAAGCTTTTCTCTTGGCACGAAGAGAACATGCACCCACAGCAAATTAGGGAACACCCATAATTTAACTTTACACATTTAGATCAAAGATCTATTTATTGCTGTACTACCATTTTTCTGTGGGTCTTCCTTATTAAAAAACCACATATGGGATTCCAAAAAAATTACTGGTCTAGTCTTGCCTCTTTAAAATCACAACTAAAATACACTTCTGTAATATTAGCTACAAAAAGGACATAACAAGCAGCAAAAGCCTGGAATCGGCAAGACATGCATTTGTTCATGCCTGAACATTTTGCTTGGATTTTTTCTCTTACTACTTGGTTTTGCTCATACCAGGTTTGGCATTTTGCATATTAACATATTTGGGTAGAGACTGTCTTCTCTAACTGTTGATACAGTACCTAGCACTCTGGGGAGCTACCACACGAACCAACACAGGATAACTGATGTTCTACACCAAAGCTTCCCTTTGTCCACCTAGTCAGTCTTTACCTAACGCTATCAGCAGGCTACCCCTGTGCTTTGTGTATCTAGCTTACTTTTGCTGCTTTTTCCTCCCAAGAGAAGCTGCTAACTGCTCCCAGATAGCATTTATATTTATTTATTTGTCAGATGTTCCCAAATAAAGTGGATTAGCTGTGGTGGGATGAGTCCTGACACAGCTGATCCACTTCACTGGGTAAAAAAACGGTTGCCCACTGTCCCGGGGCCCAATCGGGTGGAAGAACAGGAGACATGTCCCCCACTCAGAGATGTGCCTCTGAGACTACCTGGAACATGTTTCTGCAAGCAGGTAACCCCAGCTTTCCCCACTTAGAGGCCCCCACCTTGGAGGCTGCCTGGGGCACAGCTATGCAGATGAGAAACCCTGGTTTTCCTCTCTTAAAGATATATGCCCTGGAAAATCTTCAAGGAGCATCTCTGTAAGAGGAGAAAGCCAGGTAGGCACTCCCAGGGCTTGAGGAGCCCAATCCTGCATGGGAAATTCCCAAGGTGTACAGGATTGGGCCTCGAGAAGGCTGGAGAGTGTGGGCAGCTCTGGGCAGACCGCACCCTCCCATCATAAACCTAGCAGATGCTTGCCGCAACAGGGCGGCACAAACTGATACCACCTATGGTTGCAGCCACAAATTCTGGCCATTTGTGGTGTGACAAGAGGCAAGGGCACCTGTTTTCTTGGTCTTTGTCCCAGCCTAAAAATGTTTATGGAAGCACAAAAGTAACATCTGTTTCTACCCACAAAAACACCATAGTTGAGGCCTAAGCATCATGAGCAAACTGGCTAACACAGCAACAATTATTTGAGAGCTTGGTACAATTGGCTTTGTACTTGTGTTACTCACCTAAAGTAAGTATTTGTTTTAGTCTTTGATCTATTTCCAAGGTCTGGAACAGTTTTCTCCCCTAAAAACAGTATTAAAATGCAGACAGTTAAATAGTCTTCTGTAACAGCTATGCACACTGTACACTTCAACAATGACAACACAGTATGAATCAGCATGTGGATATCAGAGAACTTGGCAGAGTCAGCTGAGTTGCTGCTTCTCCAAAGTTACCTAAATGACCTTAAGACTTCTTTTTCTGTAAAATGGAAGTAAATAAAGTGAAGTATGCCCAAGGAGTTTAAAAAATAAACTTGCAGAAATTTTAAATTCAGTTACCATCCCTCTCCCTCCACCCCTTCCCACACTCACAGTGATTACAAGTTATTACTGTATTACTGAACCTTATATACTGCTATGAAAAAATGATAACTAAGGTTTAGTTTTGAAAATAATCATAAAATAGTTATGGTACACAGTAGGTTTTAAGAAAGCACTTTGCTAATCTGTTTAAACATGATTATTCTCATTTTACAAACAAAAAAACTTCAAAACAGCAGAAGTAATTTGCCCAAGGATACAACTGCAAGTATGCAGCAGACCAAAAAAAGTAACAATTTACAATTTCCACCATCTTGCTCATATCACTGTATTAATTTTGGATCATATAATAATTCATTTAGAGTCTTAGTAATATAATGATGTTCAAGAGATAACCACTGTCTGGTCATTCCTTGGTGCATTAATCTTTTGGCACATTACTTTTTGTTGCTATAAACTAGTACAACTGAGATCACATAGTGAAAATCATGTTGGGAAAATGCATTAAAAATCATGGAGAAAGTAAGCAATTTTTTAAATTTTTTTTTTTTTTTTATATAAAATCAGTAATGCCCTAGAGGAACTGACTTATCTCCTTGATAACATGTTCTCCCTTTGCAATGTTCTAGTAGTAAGCAAATTTTATCCATAATAATATTACTTATTTGCATTTGTTACTTTATGCTTAACAGTCACTTTGATTTAAATGTATCCAAGAGAGCACTTTTTTCAATGACAAAAGGTACAGCGATAATATATTTGCATACACAGCTCTTCACTAAGAGTCACATAGCCAAATGTATAAATGTATACACATTTTGTCACTGGGTGCATCTACACATGCAATTAAGATTCATAAATAAACTCTACAGCTTATTGCTCTGGGGTATGCCATTTGAATGTGTGTCCAGAAGCAAAAAAACCTCAAGAGCATATTGTTCCAGAGTATGTTGTGCATAACATGTGCAGCCCAATCTCAGCACCCTTGGTTGGTAGGGGACCTGGGGAGGGGTCAGCCTGCCAGCCCAGGGCTGCTCCGACCAGGCTCCACATGCTATGGAGGGGATGGCTGACGCATGAGGGTGCTTCAGTGCAGGGCTAGCCAGCAGGCAGCCCCAACACTGAAGCACCCTCGTGCCCCAGCTAGCTGCTCTGTAGCACGTGGAGCCCTGTCGGAGCAGCCCTGGGCTGCTGCTGGCTAGCCTCATGCCTGCCAGCTAGCCCCACACTGAAGCACCGTGCTCCAGCTACCTGGGGCAGCATCTACTTGTGCTTTGATGCACATGAGAAAAAAACCAAAACTTTGCAGTAGTTAAAACACTGCACAGTTTATTAGTTTTATGCATCCTAAAAGGTGCAAACGTGTAGATGCCAAGACATTTATCGCATAGTTAATTAATCAACTGTGCAGCAAATGTCTTGTGTAGATGCACCCACTGAGAGTCATATAACCAAATATATAAAAATTATTTTGTTACATACCACACAAAGCTCAAATAATATAATACCAATGGACCACACATCTGATTTAGGGCCAGAGGGTAGAGGCTTCTCACACTGAGTATGATCACTAGGTTTGACTATCCCCTGAGCAATAACTTCAGGTGCCAAGTATGATGGGTACCTATAATGAAACATAAGTGTATGTCATGAAGTTTGAAATTCTTCAAAGTAAGTTCTTGTTCCAAAAAATTATAAGAAAATTAATTAAAAATTCAAAATCACCTAGATGCCCCATAATCAAAGCCTAGCAATCAAACTGCTGTCAGTGATACTACAGTTAGTATTTTCCATAAAAAAAGGACTTTTCATAAGAACAGGAGTGAATGGTAGCATCTTTGATAAGAATATATTTCCTACACATCATATATTTGCATTAAATCTTATTATATGTTCATATTTACTGCTAGGTGTATTTCAGTGTTTTGTTGTTAGCATCTTTTGACCGTCACCAATATTATCATTCCCAATCTTTAGCTCATGGCCAACAACTAAATTTGATTTAATTTAGTAACACATGGAAAACCAAGATTAAAAAACCCAAACACTTATCCTAGTTGGTGTTAACAATTTACATTTTAAAAACTTGTCTGGCATAGGACATCTATACCAGACTCATAATACTTTTTAAAAGGCAACTTTTGAGGGGACAGAAGTTACAGCTGTGTATGGTGCCAGGAGACAAAAATACATTTAAGTGCTCCAGAGACAATAGGGAGTAAAAGGAATTACACAAGAATCAAAAAGACTTTATACAGGAACTTGGGGTGCCTAGGCCACGGGGCTGGGACCAGAAGCAGCAAGAAGGAACAACTCTTGTGCTGCAGGATCTTCTGGGAAATGGAGTTTGCTGCAGTCTGGACTTTGCCCACCCCTGATCCAAACAGAATTTAAAAATCAAAATTTAGGCTGTGACAGTCTAACTAGATGTTCCGATTGGACAAAATGTATCAAAAATCATTGCTTATTTAAAATTAAGAATGCTTTTCCTTTTTAAAATCAACTGCTTCATTATTCTGTTAAATGTAGACTGAACAAAAATGAAGTTTTTCATTTTTAGAGCTACTATGTCGACAGACTCAAATCACACCATTTAAGTATTTGACCTTAAGTTGCCTGATCATTCTAAGCAACTTTCAAATGAGTGCTACAAGCATCCTTTGATACATGTTAAGGTTTAATTTTATTTTAATTAATTAAAATTCCCCTTTAAATATTTCTAAGTTTATTTTAATTGATATTTTTCATGTTTCAATTACTCAAGTCACCTTATTTTTTTCCTGAAGAAAGCCTAACATTTTTGTTTTAAGGCATATCAAATAGTATCAAAAGCATTAACCTGTCAGGCAAGGTACTTTGAGTGAATCTGATCTCTTTTATTAGACCAACTGAAATAGTTGGAAAAAAATATTTAAGCAAGCGTTTAAAAACCTTTCATCAGGCTGAGGAAGTTTCTGTACTTGGTGTGTGCTCTTCCTGCATGGAATTCAAACTTTCATTCCATCCAGAAAGAGCACACACCAACTGCACAAACTTTGTCGGCCTGACGAAGGGTTTTTAAACCCGAAAGCTTACTTAAATATATTTTTTCCAACTATTTAATTTGGTCTGATAAAAGATACGAGATTCACCCAAAGAACCTTGTCTGCTTATGTCCTTAGACCAACACGGCTACAACCTACACCCCTGTTAACCTGTCAGGTGCATTTAACTTCAAACTTCATTTGAAGTTTTAATCCTCTTTGCATCATGTAAAAACACTACTAAAAATTTACAAAGATCCAAAGTTAAAAAGACTGACATTCCAGTTAACAGTAAAGAGGACCAGTGTTTTGCTTAGGGGACAGAAATTACCCTGTTTTGCAATTAAATGATCTGTCTTTGTCAACTTTAAGTGTATTCTTTTAATCTACCCAAAGTATGAAAAAGGTATTCTCAAAGACCAAAGCTATCCAACTTCCAGGTAACCAGAGGCTACATGCTGCATGGGCCATAGTCCTAAGGGCCATATAAGGTGGGCCACAGGCCAGGGGCTGCTCGCCGTGTGAACACCATCCTCCCTCCCCCTGGCTTTCCTGTACCGCTCAGGCAGCCCTAACTCCTTCCTCTCCTTCAAGCCACGTGGGCAGCCTGGTTCCCTCTCCCCCCCCAGCCACACAGGCAGCTACCCCCACAGACTACATGAAGAGCACCTCCCTCCCCTCTTGGCCGTATGCCCACCTGCAGTGCAAGTAGCCCAACTCCTTTTGTCGTGCACTGTGTGAGCAGCCCAGCCCTCTCCCCTGCTACATGCACAGCTTGGGCACCCCAGCCCCTGTTATCCCACCTCACTCAGTCCTGAGGAGAGGGGGAAGGAAGTAGAAACTGAAGGAGGGTGAGAGAGCCCCAAAAAACAGCTGCCATGGAAGGAGCCACAACAGAGGGGTGGGTAGCAGTGACTGGGCAGGAGCCTGTGGGCTGCATGCTAACCCTTTCAGAGGCTGCATGTTGCCTATAGGCTGCCAGTTGGACAGAGAGTATGTATGAAATATGTAAATCTACTGCATGATCATCTATATAACATCTTAGAAGAAATCTGGATGCCAAGCTTTAAATCAGATAAATTTACAAAAGGATTGTTTTACATAAAACCAGATCATTTCTCCAATTACAGAGATCTTTACAAAACACTGCTGCCAAAAAATGTACAGTGTCAGAACAAGAACAGTAATCTAGAAAGCAATAGACCAATTGCAGAGCAAACACTCATAACTTTCATTCAGAGACATCTATTTTTAGCAGAGTTCATAGTGAAGAAATACAGTTTTTAATGTGCTGTTTAAAACTAACAAGTGTCCTTTACTCTTTCACTCCAAAAGTTACATGTTAGTCTGGACACAGTACCTTTCTTTTTAATTTTTTTTTGCTATATCCTGCTATAACTTTTATCCTGTGTCCAGCAATGGTACAAAGAAGAGGACATACTCAATTGTTGACAGACAGTGGAAATATTGTGGATCCTTCCATGATCCCCATTCAACAGACTTTAAATTTTCTTTACATTTACAAATATAAAAAAGGACATCAATATATATTATATTTTTTTAGCTAAATCTCACTGAGCAGTGTAGAAAACACAAGATTATAAGTTCTACAAGTTTATCAATAGCACATGGAGCTTTCTATATGTACTTTTGCATGTTTTATCTATGAAAACCAAACATAAAAATGAATATAATAAGTGCCTTGAATTCAACTCTAACTTGAAGCAATTTATTTACTTTTACATATTTGCATCAAATAAGATTTTGTATGTTTGGCATTCATTTGTTTCCTACCCTCAGTGTTTAATATTGATAAAGTGCTCATTATTGTAGTATCTGGGAACTGAAAGCAGAAATTGCATCAGTAACTTCTACGAAGAAATAAAAAAAATGCTTTATTGACTCAAGCCCAAGGTTTATTTCCAAAAGTATTCAGCAACAGATGCTACAGAAGAAGGCATAAAGACCCCACTGAAAGAACACATGACATGATCTCTCAGAGGGTTTAGGTGGAGACTCTCACAAAAGAATTAGTTTGGACAAATGTGCTAATTAATTACTTAAAATCTGGATAGCCTCATTATGAATTTATGTACTCAGTTCCTCTGACTCTTAGGCCCCTGGCAGACGTTACACTTAAGACATGATGAAGCAGTTACTTGCATCTTAAAAATATAACCCAGCCTCATTTTCAGGCAATTAGTGGTGCAATAAAACAGGAAATAAGCCACAAAATTATTACAATACTTTTGTGATTAGGTAGCTTCGGTATGGTCCTGACCCTGCTGACAATCAGCTGATGGTTGGCTGGCAAGGACCATACCAAGTTTGAGCCAACCCACTGCGGTTGGTTAAAGCCAGCGTGGTCTGTGGAGCCTGCTGATGATCGACTGATCACTGGTTGGTTTGGAACTGCATCAGGATTTGACCTCCAGGGTGGTCCTGATCCGGGCAACCGTCAGATAATCTATCAAAACTGGAGGTCAAAAATCCACAATTCACAAAGTAGTTCTTTCTGTTACTAATCATTTCCAACAAGTGCTTATTCAATATACAAAGCCTAAGATTTTTATGGTGTATAGACTACTCACCCTATAGGGAAATCGACATCCACACCATGAGCTGTCATATGATACAGACCAAATTTAGCCAATTTAACATGTCCCTGTGAAAGTAAACACGTTAGCGGTGAAGCTCTCAGTTACTTAGAGCACAATTTAAATACAAAATAAAAAACCCTTTTGTGATCTGAAACGTGTAAAAAAGGTGAGGACCAAAGTTCTCTCAACAGTCACAGTGCTTTTAAAAATACAGAGCCCAGATTCCAGGTCCCAGTTCATATGTAAACAGAACTCCACTGAAAACCAGTAAGAGTGTTTACTAGCTAGGCAGTGTGTGGATAAGCAATAAGCATACTGCCCTAAAATATTAAGCATCCCAAGTTTCTTTTCTACTATACAGTTTTTAAAGACTGCTCCTTCAATTTCTCTGACTTTCATTCAAATGTCTTTCTAGAGTATGTGAACTCTGGTGTAAAAATTTCCAAATGCACTCCATCCACCCTAATTCCAGCCATCTTTCATTTACTTATTTTCTTCCTTTCCTTGTTCCTCACTTACTCCATGCTCATCATTTATCTCCTTCCTTTAACACTGATTCCCTCCCCTTTTATTTTTCCCATAGTTTCTGCCATTAGAACATTTCCCAGATATCAGCCCTATAGAATTAATACTGTTTGGGGATTGTTCCTTTTTTTTTTTTTTTTTTTTTTTTTTTTTTAAGTCAGAGAGGTGCCATTTGCCACAAGGGTACAGTGACACTTCCAAATACAAAACTAAAATTTCCAGGAAATTCTCTCAATTCTAATGTGATTACTCCAAGAGAAAAAACAGAAATTGGTTAAAAAAAAAAAAAAAAAGAGACTCATTTAGTAGTACCCCCATGTGAAGTAAATTTTGTTGGGAAGCTGTCTTGGGGTTGGTGCAAAGTGAAGAATATTTGCTAAAGCCATCAAAGGGAAGAGGTTAAAAACCAAAAACTCCATCTATGCAATCTCTCTAGCACCCCTTCTCCTTTAGTTAATTTCAATAATTTATCACCATCCTAGGAGTCTAAGTCCTGTTGCTCTTCAGAGATTTTGTTGAAGGATTTAAATTTCTAAATTAACATTTTACCCCATGCAAAGAGACAGAACAGAACAATGTTCTTTTTTGCTTCCTTTCCCACTCCATTGCAGAGGCAGAAGTCAGACCTAGCTGTATCACAACTCCATTACTATTTTAGCTTCTTCACAACAAATTGCAAAAAAGCATAATCAGGGCAATTAAATGACTGCTCTGAATACAGTAGCATCTACAAGCAATTAAGTGACTGCTCTGAATATAGCAGTAATAATAATGGGAGACTTCAATTAACTTCACATAGACTGGGTAAGTGCCTCATCAGGGCAAGATGTGGAGATGAAATTTGTAGATGTGGTAAGTGACTGCTTTTCTAGAATAACTAATTTTGGAACCTACAAGAGGAGAAGCAATTCTAGACCTAATCCTGAATAACACGCAGGACCTGATTTAATTGGTATCCACTGGTGAGTCACTCTGCAAAAGTGAACAATCATGTTCATCATCGTAGTAAGAAGGAATATGCCCAAAGAGTCTACCATGGTGATATATAACTTTAGGAAGGGAAACTGCACAAAAATTACTTAGAAAGTAATTGGTTAGAAAGAAGTTTAAAGGAGAAGTAAAAAATGTGAGAGACCTAAAAGGCAGCTTGGAAGTTGTTTAAAAATACTGTATTAGAGGCTCAGGAAAAGTGTAGATCACAAACCAAAAAGGGTACCAAGTGGATTAATAAAAGGTTCCTCACCAAAGGCTTTAAAAAACCCCAAACTGTATTGCCATGGGATTGGAGGGAATGTTCTTTCATGAGTGCTAGTTAAAAGACAGGAAGCAAAGTGGTAAAACTAAATGGTCAGTTTTCAGGATTTGAGGTTGGTCAAAAGTGGAGTGTTACAAAAATCTGGACTGGGCCCAATTTTGTTCCACATTTTCTCAATGGCCTAGAAATGGGTGCATAGTGAAAATCTCCAGATCTGCAGATGATACCAAATTTGCATGCATGCCTTGTCACTTTCTGTGAAATATGCTTGTACTTGCAGGTAAGGGTACACTTAGCAGTCATCTGAAAGAATCGCTGAGTAACACAATTAATCAAATGGTAAGACTATATTTCGGGGGGGGGGGGGGGGGGGGGAGAAAAGCGAGGGGGGGTGAGAGAAGGAGAGAAGATAAGAAGAGCAGGCCAGGAGATATGGAAAATGGGAACAGGAAAAAGCAACTGAACTCTAAATACATCTGAAATTGTTTAAGTTGCGTCACATGCAGAAGATCTTTCATTCAGAAGGATCTCAAATCCATCTCATTGTCCAAGCCCCCAAATCCATAATGCAGCACTGACAACCTAAGAAAAAAAAAATGTTACTCAAGCTTACCTTTCGATCCAAGAGGATATTGTGAGGGGAGAGTGCTCGGTGAACCATTCCATATTTGTTCATATATTGCAAGCCTTGCAATACCTCAAATGCTATGCATAAGATCCTTGAACAGCTGCAAAGAAGAACATATGGTATGTAACTTTTCCTTTCATGATTCTGAAGAAAAAGTGTGCACTGCTTTGGACACTGCAGATATGGTTTCTTCCTAGGAATTCTTTCAACTAATGATAGTTTGTGAATGTAGAAGACTGATTTGATTACCCAGAGGACCCCTTCCAGACCTATGCTGTTCCTAATTAAGACTACTGTACTTCCATAAAGTTTGATGAAGGAATCAAATACTAAATATTGTAAGAAGCAACTCAAATACCAAGGTGAGATTTTTTTTCCCCCCATCCTACTGTTGTCATACATTTCCACTTAAGTGACTGTACAGTACTGTGGAAGATCTAGACTCCTATCATTCCAGGAACTGAAAATGAACTAGCAGTAATCTCACTTCTGCTGCTAGGCTACACAGATAGATTTAATCTGAACAAATGTTCTGTGGTGCCTAAATGCTGTTATCTAGACCATGTAGTAATGCTTACACAGCTATAAAACAGCATGCACTAGAAATGCAACCAATCTTTTTTCTTTTCTTTTTTTTAAAATTTAGAACAAAAAATGGTGCGCTCCAGAATTAAAATTAAGAGTTTCAGTTAAAAAGCAGAACCACGTTTTTTGCTTCTTTTTCTCCATGGATATAAGAAGTTACCATTTATCATGATGACTTTGATACTCATACTGCACACCTTGCACTAAACAATGATTGTCCAGTAACATGAACATATATCCACATACATGCTCAAGCATGATTAGTCCACAGATGTCAAGACTCAAAAACCAAACAGTGTCTGAATGGTAATCAGATTTCATGACTGCTATTAGTGTCTTTCAAAACATGGAGATGTAACGTGTTCAGGCTTCTCAAACAAATCCAACTTAGAGTCAAAGACTGAGATGCAAGGTGTTCTAGGTAGTCTCAATTTTTTAATTTTTCCTCTTCTGAACATAAATTTCCAGACTTATGAGCATCACATTTTCTAAGCTTGAAATGAACCTGCTTCCCTGAAAACAAAGACCATCTCTTTGTTTAAGCTTGAGTGTCCAAAGGAAGGCCACAAGCATGATTAGAGGCCTAGAGACCAGGTCATATGAGGAGAGGCTGAACAACTTGGGACTGTTCAGTCTGGAGAAGAGAACACTCAGGGGGGACTTACTGTCAGTCTATAAGTATATCAGGGGTGCACATCAGGGCCTGGGGGAGCATCAATTCACCAAAGCCACCCAGGGAAGGACAAGAAATAATGGGCACAAACTGAAGATTGCTTCAGGCTAGACGCATGGAAAAAACTTAACAAGTTGAGTGCCAAGAGTTTGGAACAGGCTCCCTACAGAAGTGGTATAGTCATCCACGCTGGCCCAAAAAAAGGCTTGACGCCCATCTTGCTGGGGTCATCTGATCCCAGCGGTCTTTCCTGCCCAAGTGCAGGGGGGCTAGATCCAATGATTTGTAAGGTACCTTCCAGCCCCTAACAACTATGAAACTACCTGCTTTCTAAGGTTCATGCTACAGAGGGTGTAGACATCATATGAAACACTTCACAGTGAAGCACTTTCAAGTTGTTACCAACTTATCTGGATTCATTAAGGCAGAACTTCCCAATTCAAAGTGCTTTATCAGCTGCATAGCCCTGTGCCTTCGTTATTTAGGGCACTTCAAATGTTATGTCTGTACATATACTAGTGTCCCAAATTTGTTATTCTGTTAAGATGACATACCCCACATATTGGCCCTTTGTCCATGTTTTCTTCACTGTACAACACAAACCTTCAACAAATATTAGGAGCTTTGTGAAAGTGACAGCAGGCTGTCTGGCTCCCCATATTGTGAAGCTAAGCCTCTTATTTAAGATAGACACTTGGGCCCAAATTTAAGTCCAGTTAGGTAGGTAAGTAGCATTTACACAGCTAGTGTTAGCTGTGGAAGATGCACAACTTGCCATGGACATCTAATAATTTTCAGAAAGCCCCCAACACTTTGGTTCTGCTGCAATGCCTTCTGCCAGGACATATACAGAGATTGTGGGGGCAGGTGAAATGTTAGCCATGGTGAAAGGAAAAGGAGAGGGAAGAGAGGAGTTAAAATAATAACAAACAAACAAACAAACAAACAAACGAGAACTTCTGATGAATCAAAAAGTACACTTCCACTTTTTGGTTTAATGGCCTAAGCCACACCCATTCAGTGTTTCTGAATGGAATATTTTTTGGTAATATGGACAGATGGGAATGGAATAGCTTCTCAGGAACAGGACCAAGGCAACAATCCCAGGAGGCTGCACCCAGAAAGGGAGGAAGCATCTCACAAGTCACATTCCTTTGGCTCTCCTTCTGGCTTCACAATCAGTAGACTAGCTACAACAGGTGATGGAATTTCTTAGAAATGCCTACCCCTAGGGGATAGATTACTAGTGAGATATAGTACATCAAACCCTCTCTGGGTGAGGGTGCCCCTAAAACCTGGGTGTCCCAATCCCTGGACATGTATACCACTTATCCACTCGGCAACTGAACTAGGCATGGGAGGATCCTCTTCCTCCATGATTCTGTGATGTATACAGAGTTATGTAGCTACTCTTCTTGGGAGTAGCTGTGTTAGCCTGTAGTCAAGTAGAGAAGGCAGGACAGGGTGCCATCTAAGAGACTAACTGGTTCAGAGAGGAATAGGCTGTTGCCTACAGCAGTTTATTTCAGATACTAGAGTTGGACATGCATATATACACACATGCACACACTTAAATTATATAATTGTTTATATATATTAAACAAGTATATATGTTTAAGTTAGCTACTTACTCATCTAAAGGTTGGAGATGAATTCTGGCCCGAGTTGCTAACTAGCAACTCTTACACAAGTCTCAGTGAAGACAAGATTTTGTAACATGACAAGTAGTCTTATTGCAAAAAGTAGACAAACAATTTAATTCTGTTGCAAAAAGCAAAGAAGTTCTGGTATTACAAGTATTTTCATTAGTAAGAGAGGAACTATGCATTCATTATTCATACAAAAAATTTCTTCTACTGCCACTGATTCTAGTCCTATCCTGTGCAGACACAGATCTACCTCCATCCTCTCTCTAAGCCCACTTCAGGTATTTGAAGGCTTATCAAATCCTGCCAAACCCCAACCTCCCATACACTGCCTCAGTCTTCTCTTGACTAAACATCTTAGTTCTTTCAGGCTTTCTTCGTAAATCTTGCTTTCCAGGACTCCAGTCATTTTTGTTGCTCTCTACTGGACTCCTTCCAGTTTGCTCACATCCTTCTTCAAGTGCTGGACTCAGAACTGGATACAGCATTTCAGGAAATGCCTCAGTGCTGAGTAGGGAGGAAAAAAAAAATCACTTCCCTTGAATTTGCAAATGACACTCCTGTCATACAACCCAGTATACCATTACCGTTTTTTGCAACAAGAGCACCCTGTTAGCTGATATTCAGCTTATGGTCTACTGTAAGCTCCAGGTGCTTCTCTGCAGTACTGTAGCTTAGCAACTCATTCCCCTGTTCGCATATGCAATTTTTTCATCCCAAGTGCAAGTCTTCGGAGAAATGGTCCGAGATCAATCAAGTAAGATTCAATAAGGAACAATACATTCTATCCAGGTCTTTCTGGAACCTAGCTCTACTCTGCAAAGTGTCTGCCATTAGCTTGGTGTCATCTACAAATGCGCTAGGCATATACTCAATCTCACTGTCCAAATCATTAATGAAGTTGTTAAATAATACCAGACCAGACTGACCCCTGGGGACCCCACTTGATACCTCCTCCCAACTACACCCTGAGCTACTGATGACTACTTTTTAAGCAGGATGTCGTCTCTCTCCCAGTTCTTTGTGATCTCTTTAAGGAAAGAACTAGAGCAGTGGTTCTCAACCTGTTTAGGCTTAGAGAACCCCTTAATAGACTCAAGACACCTCTTAGAAAATGTCAGCTTTTATCTTTCTCTAGTCAAAAAAAATAAAAATCAGTAAATACTAATAGAGCAATTCATTTTGTTGCAAAGAACACAGACCACAACAGGTCAAAATATTTTTAACACTATGGTTTTCGTTTCGAGACCTCTGGGTTTAATCTTGTGAAACATGTTTGCACATCCGCCAATACTCGCATTGAATGGTGCTCCATGGCACCCCTGAAAAGATCTCATGGCACCTCATGGCTGAGAATCATTCTGACAGACTCTTTGAAATGCAAAAGGTATCTGAAAGCCTGAAATGGGTGCTAGAGGAATGCAATGCTCCATTTTGACACTAGAGGGCCTCAGCTGCACATTTATTCACAAACAGTTCTCATAAAATGGGCAAAAATATGGATAGAGAACTAAGCCAAAATGCTTGATATGGTTTCCAGATTTTATCATTTAGCAAAAGTGAAGGTTCATCCATCCCTGTGGGGTTCTGTTGAAAATAGCAGCTGACTGAAAAACATCTGTGTAAAGAACTCTACCACACTGTTTCATGTGGATCAATGTAACTGGTGGGATTTGCATAGGTTGCCTCCCCTCCACTACTTCCCAGTAGCTAAAATCTATTTCTGCAGCATCTTGGTAAGTCAGAGTATGCCCACCTTCCAAAAAGCAAAAAATGCTATACTACCGTTACTGCACTCTGCAATGCTTTAGTACTAAGTAATCAAAAATGATATTTTTCCTCCTAAAGACATCACTTATAGCTTGGGTTTCATTATGAAAAGCTTCCCAATTGTAACGAGATGTATATGGGTGAACGACTGAGTAACTGATAGTAAAAGCTTCCATACTTTATGAATCTACTTATAGCCAGCCACAACAGCAGTCCTTTTTCTCTACACACAGGAACTGCTGTTAGATTTTCCAGACTACCTCAGGTCCTCCACAGGCTCTAGTCCTGGTACAGCTATCCCAGCAATATAGGGGTACAGTCCTCTACCAAGCTCTGGGGTTCAGACACATTGATTCCTAAAGCATTTCTTTCCTTATTTCAGGTGAAGATGACTTAAGACTGTACATAAAAGTCACATCTGTCCTA